CAAGCACCACATGTACTCACCATCAAATTGGTATTAACTGATCAACACATAAGTGTACATATAAGAATAACATTTATTGGATGTCGGGCAGGGGGCGGGGTGGGGGGAGGAGGGGAAGGGTATATGCATACGCAAAGAGTGCGATGTGCACCATCCGGGGGATGGACACGCTTGAAGCTCGGACTTGGTGGGGGAGACGGGCAAGGGCAACATACGCAACCTAAACATCTGTACCCCCATAATATGCTGAAATAAAAAAAATATACATTATTAGTCAGAAAGCCTCCCTAGTCCATCGATGTCACTCTGCCCTGCTGTGCCCACACGGGTCCACACATGAGCGTCCACGCAGGTACCTACACCAGTGCACACACATGCACACCATAGCACACATACCACTCCATCTAACTTCGAGGGTCAGAACTGTCTCTGCGTATCTCGTACGCCAACTCTCCTGGGCTGCACAGAGAAGCCACAATTGTGCTCAGAAGCTACACCTGGATTCAAGACGCAGTAGTCTGAACTCCTTCTCTGAGCCTGGGTTTCCACATCTGGTGAGCACCCAGAATGACGCAGGAAACTAAGTCATTGCCAGTCTCTCTAGGATTGGAAGGAGAAGGCAAAAACAGAGAGGTCCCCGCCTGCTAGGGTAGTTCTGTGGAAAGAGGGAGTATGAGATGTCAAAGGGGCAGTCAGATCTCCGTGCAAAGAAAGGGGAGAGAAAGGGAACGGGGCTGGGAACCCACAGGAAAGAAACTGCCCGAGTTGCTGGGAGGGAGGAAAGGAACGACCCAAACAAAGCAGGTGTCACTGAGTCTACCCTTCACCTCCTGCAGACGCCTTTCCCAGCCCTGGGTGCTGGGTGCACAGCCCTCGGCCCTCCTGCTCTGGGCCCTCCCCTCCCAGGTCACACATCCCCAGTATTGTCAGGGACTTCCATTTCCTTCAACCGTGAATTCTCAATGGCCGCGCACAGACACATTTCCCAATCTTCACACCCACTGCTCACCCTTGCTCATCCTCACAGTAGTGTGATGCTTAGGTGTGGTGGAAGGGGCTTCCCCCAGTCCACTCCAGAATCAACAGCAATCCGAGGAGTCCGAAGGGACCATTCAGAGGGAGGGAGACTGCTACACCTGGACCTTTGGGCAGAACGGGAAATCCTTTGGAACCACGGATAGTGTGGAGACTAACACTCCCCGAGTGCTTTCACTGAGACCCCTGCACAAGCCCTATGACAATGACAGCGTCAGCACTCCTGGGAGAGGAGCTTGGCCAGGCTCCAGGGTCACCCTTCTGAGCTCCTGGCTGCCTAGGCGGACAGGTGCCGCCTCCTGGCGCCCTGCAGTCTTTGTGTGTGGACTCCTGCTGGGATCAGTCCCCCAGGGGAGCCCAGCTCAGCTTCCTGGAGAAAACTGTCTCCACCCATTGCTCCTTCTCCATCCAGGACTGGTCTCCTGGAGAAGAGATGGTGTAGGAAAGGAAAAGCACAGCTGGAAAGACAGGGAGGGAGGCTTCATTGTCCGACCTGTGTCCTGCCTGAAGCCTGCAGCCCCTCCCTAGGCAAGGCTGGGTCCCAGAAAGGAAGGGCCACATGCCCTGCAGGCATTGGATATCACGTGTGGCTGGAGGGGAGGACAGTTTGTGCTGGGGACCACATTGCCCTGTGCTCCTCAGAGAGGACCAGGGCAGCAAAGGGACCAAGTGAAGTCAGCTTTGGTGGCATCTGGGGACTCTGTGGACTGGGTCCAGGGCCTGCACAGCTCCAAGGGACTGGGCCTGGCTCCCTTGCTGAGAAAAGACGCCAGGAGGGAAGACGAGGGGATGCTCTGTTGAGGGGCTGGAGTGGGGTGGGGGCGGGGACGTGCTCTGCTTTACTTTAGACTTTATTTATGGCCATGATTGTTCTCTCATGGGAGGGAAGCCTCAGCGTAGGTGACCCCCAAGCGTAGCCCAGCATGGAGGGCCAGGGGTTTGCACCCTCACAGCTCTCCCACTCTCTGGAGAGCACTCCTGGGGGTGAGTCCAACCTCCTGAACGACTCCCCAGTGAGCTATCAAGTGAATCCCAGCGTCTTATTTCATTTCAGTTTGCTTTCCTGCTGTGTGTGTGTGTGTGTGTGTGCTGTGTGTGTGTTTGTGTGTGTGTGTTTACAGAGAAGGAATTATGAAAACATAACAAAAAAAGTCTGGAGGCTTCAGATCGCATATGAAACTGTGGCTTTGCTTTCATGTGGGGCACCATGGAAGGACACTGAGTGGCCTGACCCTACAGCATTCAGGGCCTTGGTCCTCCAGGACGACCCTCCTTGGCCGTCTTCACGGCTTCAGCATCGACATGTTCCACACGAATGCCCACTTCAAGTTTTCCGTGAATCTGAGCTGACTTGCCGTTTTCACAACTCACACGGATGTGTTTGACAACGCAAGGTCCCCTGAAGTCTCCATGTCCTCAGTTGTTACACCAAGGGAAGGAAACCAAGACGCCTAGCGAGGTGTCTCCCAGATACGAAGAGACCTTAGGCCAGCAGTCTGTATCCCCTTGTGCAAGTGCCTTCTCTGTTGAGACCACACTCACGGCAACCCCAGAACACTGAAGACTCAGAGCCGGGTCTTAGGAAGCCCCTGGGAATTCCTAGGAATTTTCCCCCAGCACACAACAGGTGCTCAGCATAAATTAGCAGAAAATGAGGGACTGGGGTCTAAACGTGACTCTCACACCTTGCCACTGGAGGGGTGATTTTGGGGGTTGTGCTGCTGGGGACATGTGGGAGGGCCCAGTCGGAAGTGCGGTGATCTTAAATGAGGGTCGGTCCTTGGGCCACAAGATTGTTGAGGGCGGGAAGGCTCAGCTGCCCTAGGGAAGGGATCTGGGGCCTGCCAGTCCTTATTGCCATCCTCTTGCTTGCCTGTCCTTGTGTCTATTCCTGTGACACCAGGCCCCTTGAAAAGCCCTAGAGTGGGAAGCATTGCCACTGGCCTGTGTGGTAGGAACAGTACAGAGAGCGCGGGGATAATCCACATGCCCTCTTCAAACCCCTCCTCGGTGTTACCTCTCACCCCCTGACCTCCACGAAGTCACCTCCCTCTAGCACCACTAAGTCTGCACCACATGACCCTAAGGCCACCATTTAAATGAGTGTACATGGGTGAACCAGCAATGTTTATTCTGAAACAAAACAATCAACACACAACCCTGGGTTCAAGACAAATGAACAACTAGTTTCTGTGTCTTCCTTCAGGATAGCAAGGAAAGATCCCACCTTCCAGTCAATACCTGCGGAGTTGGCCGCTGAGGGCTCAGGGGTCAGGCTGAGGATTGAGGGTTGTACTCCCACCCTAAGCCCATGTGCTCAGGGGTCATCAGGGAGGGATGCTCCTGCTTCCCCCAGGCCACTTCCATCCTGCGGGAGGGCATACACTGGCCAGGCAAATGCACACCTCAGGGTGTAGGCAGAAGGCAGAGCAGGTGTGGACTGAGTCTGCTTCCACCTGCTCAACCCTCCACAATTCTGTGGATTCCTCAGGACTTAAGAGATTCAAGCCTTGAGTGGCCACTCATGCCAATAGGACACCAGTGAGTGCAGTGGGTTCCCATTCCTCAGCAGAAGACCTTGGCTCTTTCCTCCTGATATCACCAGGGTCTTGGGTAATAGCCCACAGAATGCTTTGGAGAGGATGAGGAAGAGGTGGGACAGGTGTACTGCTGGCATGAGAGCTCCCCGCCAGCCTACAACCCTCCCGCTGATGTGCACCTCCCTCACACCGCAGCCAGTGCCCTTCAACCATGCACCCCGGTCTTGTCTTCACAGGGCTTTGGCCGGCCTTGGGAGGCCCCAGGTGAGGATGGCGTCCACCAGGAAGGTGGGCATGTAGCTCAAGGGGAGGTAGAGGAGCTTGGCGTCCCAGCCAGCTGAGTAGCGGGTGCGGGGGTGGCAGGCGGTCAGCGCATGCTCCATGCAGTCCGTCACCAAGGACAGATCGTGTGTTAATCTTCCTTGCATTTGTTCTGTTCCCTTCATGTCTGTACACAATGAGAAAACACCCTTGAATACGTCCACCTGCAATTGCTTCTGCTTTGGGTTCAACTTCAGAGTGGAAAGTTTCTAAAATCTCATGGCTCCCCTAAGGCAATGCCCCAAATCATCCATGCTAACTCCCTGAAGAGGGCCCCACGCTTCCCCCATGAAGAATTGCTCCACACTAACACACCTCTGCCTCTTTTCCTGGGAAATCTGGACTGCACAAGGGGAGGTGTTTACCGATACTAGAAATCTGAGCACCTGGAACCAGCTCCTGTCTCACATGAAATGCCACCTGGCCCTGAGACCATGATGTCTTCGCTCTCTTGCTTTCCTTCACTCTTCAAAATAATGAGGGCTTCCTGTAGATACAGGTCCCAATTTCTAATAAGCCTGGACACTTGCTTCTTGTGACCGGTTGACCACTGAACACCCACCATGGAAATGAGGCTACAGGTCCCCACTTTCTGCAAGAGGCTGAGCTTCTCCGACCCCTTGTCAGGAGGATAGACCCTCCCAGGGATGAACTAGTGATGGATCTACGATTACTGACGAGGGTTTGCTTCTCTCTCCATTGTCTGCAGCTCACTCACAGGATGCCAGAAACTTCTCGCCATAGATCTGCTTGACCTCTGAGCTGGCCCGGTCCCACGCATCCTTGGAGGTTTTGGAGAGTATCTCGGCACTGGTCACAGCAGTCTTGAAGAAACCAGGCTCAATCAAAGCCACCTTCACCCCAAAGTAGGATAGCTCCCTCCTGCAAGGCAAAGAGACAGAGGGGCAAGGATTTCAGAATTCTTGGGAGGCAAAACACAAACCGTAAGAAAACCATACCACACTAATAAACTACTGGGGTGCTATAAGCTAGTAAGCCTGGGATTTTTAATGTGAGCCAAAAAGGGTAAGAATCTGGATGAAGGCATTGCCTTGGTATATAATAACTAATTATTGTTCCAAATCTTTTACACAACGAGCTCACTAGCTCCAAATCCCCAGACTCTGCTGCAAGGCACCACTGCTGGGCTATCTCCCCCCTTGCGCTCACATCCAGGGCATCACCAGGATTTGCCCATTTCACCCTCTATGCTCCTGGGTCATCTTCCTCCCTCTCCTGCCCTGGTAAGTCTCTGGCCATCTCTCAGCCGGGCATCTGCGGCTGTCTTCTGGGGAGCATCCCTCTGCCTTGAGTCGCGGCTTCCCACACGCACAGCCATTCTGTTCCCTGTAGCCCGTGGCGTCTAGATGCCCGTTGCACCAAGTGGCCGCCCTGAGTACATCGCAGCTGTGGCTTCCACTGCCAACAGCATGAAGTACGGCACGTGTCCAGAGCCCACAGGCCTCCATGGCCCACCCGAGCCCACCTACTCAGCTCTCCATACCTGTCCTGGCCTTGTCCTTTGGCTCAGGAAGACCCCACAGCAGAGGTGGTTAGCTGACGCTCACCATGGGCCTGGGCTGACAATGTCCTCTCATCAGGAGCCCTGCCCACCCCTCCTTAGCAGGCTGCCAGGTCCAGGTGTTCAGTTCTCACATCAGACCTCACAGCCAGGACCCTCCCCAAATCTGGGTGCTGCCACAGCCACCATGGATGTCGTGGTCATAACCTGTATAAGGGTTAGCAACAATGGTTTTCTGTCTCCTGTCCCTCTCCCTCTCAACTATTGGGGTTTTCAGCTCAAGGAGCCAACCCTGCCGTCCTAGGGTGCGCCGATGCTGCACTCACACTAGTGCCCGCTGCTGTGCGTTGCGCTGAGTCAGAGGCCGCACCCACCCTCAAGGGCTCCCTGCACCCGAGTATCTCAGTGGCTGCGGACACGGGCCCTGCAGCAAATTCTCCCACTTCCACTCTGCTTCAGACATGTCCTGTCTGTGGGCCCTCCTGAGAAGGCTCAGAAGGGGCTGGATGTGGTGCCACACGCCTGTAATCCTAGCACTGTGGGAGGCTGAGGCAGGAGGATGGCTTGAGGTTAGGAGTTTGAGACCAGCCTGATCAAGAGTGAGACTCCATCTCCACTAACAACAGAAAAATTGGCCGGGCCTAGGGGCGCACGCCTCTACTTCCAGCTACTTGGTTGACTGAGCCTGGAGGATCACTTGAGCCCAAGAGTTTGAGGTTGCTATGAGCTAGGTTGACACTATGGCACTCTAGGCTAGGTGACACAACAAGACTCCGTTTCAAAAAAAAAAAATTAGAAGGCTCAATAGGATGTTACATAATTTCTTAGGTCTGGGGCCCCTCCCCCTACAAGAATAGGGACAGGAGGTCCCACCGAATGGCTGGCTAAATCCAGGAAGGGGTAAGGCCAAAAAGCCAGAGGGAGAGATCTTGAACAAAGGGCCTCTAAAGCTGTGATGAAATCAAACTCTGACGAAAAGCTCCCACAGAAGACCAGGAACAGGAGGACTCAGGCAGGGCCCGATCCCAGTGCAATACCTGAGGGAGTCCGAGAAGGCCTCCACGCCGTACTTGGAGATGCAGTAGCCCCCACCTACAAGAGACAATCTACCCGCGATGCTGGAGACGTTGACCACACGGCCCCTCGCCTTCCTCACTAAGGGCAGCAGGCTCAGAGTCACCTCGATCAGCCCCAGCAGGTTCACGTCCAGTATGGTCGCAAAGTCTTGTTTCGTCAACCACTCATTGGGGGCCAAGGGCACGGAGATGCCAGCGTTATTCACCAGGCCCCAGAGTCCTGGGGACAGTGAGAAGATGAGAGAGCAACACTGAATTGTGCCCATGCAGTGTGGACACAGTTAGGGTTCAAGTTCACATCCAAATACAGTGACAGCAGTGTGGTGGATGCTGGAAGGGGGACTAGGAGAGACAAGTAACAGCACGGTGTCTGCAGGGTTAGGGAGCCGCACATGCTGCAGCTGTTGCAGGACACGACCCATGTCTCCTCCTCCTTTTACTCTTCTTGGCCCGGCCCACGGCCTCCTAGACAGCGGGCATTGACCCCACACTCCATGGCGACATGAGCTGGTGTTGGAGAAATATTGTGCATCCATTAGTCTGCAAACACGGACACTAAAGTTTGGTTATTTACACATTAATGTGGTCCTTGCAGACAAGATGCACATTCACCTACATTTTCAGATTTTCTGTAAAGCTCATATAGTGAGTGCTCAACATCTATCTATTGATAGGAAAAGAGAGACAGGACACAGACAGAGAGTGAGGACAGGGAACAGGGGAAGAGAAAAAGACCAAAGAAAAACACAGACAAGGCTAAAATCTGGCTAGAGTTAGATTGGGAAGGACAGACCTGAAATAGTACATTCGGGAGAACGTGGAAAACAATCCTGTGTTTGGCCTCTGGGGACTGGCCTCAGATCATCCTTCATGAATATTGAGCAACATTCCTATGAAAAATTCTTGGGAATTCCAAGGGCAGGATTTGGGGAGGAGACAAGACCAACTAAACCCACCCCCCAGTAAAAACACGGCACACTCTGCCCAAAAACTTGTCACCTCATCCCACTGAGCCAGAAGGCCACCCTTACTCCTTCTACTTCAGTCCCACGTTAACTCCATTCTGGGAAAATCTCTCTGGAAGGTGGGAACACACAATCCCAAACAATTAACATCCACACAGTTTCCAGTCTATACACCTCGAGGAGCAGGAGCAGAGAACCCTCTGAGCCATGGCAGGTGGTGGCAGTTGTTGAACAGCAAGAATTGGCCCTGGGACCCAAGTCCCTCACCTGCCCTTCTGGAAATGCATATTCCTGTTCCAGGATCTCCTACTTCTTTCTAAGAATACAGTCAATATACACATTTGTAGAGATGCACGTAAATCAGAGTTTTCCAGGATGACAACAGTGAAAATAAAGAGTAGGAAAAATTCCAATGTCCAAACTCTGGCTATGGTTTAAATGAGTAAGGCTGCATCAAGGAAAGAATATTCTAAATCATTAAATACTATGTCTTAACAAACTTGTTCACTATGTTGAGAAAATGTTCATCTTTGAGAGAATACATGTGATACAAACTGTGATCAGAATATAATCCCAGTTACAGCAAAGTGTAAAACACATTTATGTCTAGATAATCATTTGAGGATGACTTTTCCTTCTATCTTTATACTTTTCAGTATTTTCCACAATGATCATGTTCTATTAATACATTTATTCTCAGATCAAAGAAATCCACATCCTTTTCATCCCCCATAACAAGACAAAGTAGTAGTGTGAAAAGAAGGAAAGGAAAATAATCCCTTCCTAGATCTGCCTTTTTACACCAGTCCTCAACTCGTGTCCTCTGAACATGGGGACGGTCTTAACTCTCCATGGACCAGGGTGGCCCAGGTAGGTACAAGCTGAAGCGCTGAGAACATGAGCCTGTCTCCAGCACAGAGCGCCCCCATGCACACCCCCAGCCCAGGGGAGGCCTGATGGGTGAGGAATATGAGACAGCTTGAACCTGGGAATACTCTGGGCATCTCCCCAGGGACAGGACAGGAGGCGTCCCTTTAACACATAGGGAAGCAGAAACAGACTTGAGGAATCTGGGTGTTACCTCTATCCCCCACACGCTCCTTCACCCACTGGGCAGCTGCAGAGATGCTCTCTGTCTTGGTGACATCCAGGCTCACTGTCTCCAGCCTGTCTGACGTCTGGGTCCTCAGCTGCTCAGCCCCCTTCTCCGTCAGACACGCAGCCAGCACCCTCAAGCCGTGCATGTCCAGCTGTCTGGCCAGCAGGTTCCCAAAGCCTGAGTCACAGCCCGTGATGAAGACATACTTGTCCCGGAGGTGGCTCACCACCTGCCTCTCCCGGTGCCATCGCACAAGGTAGTACAGGCCCACGAGGACTGCCAGGTACAGCCACATGGCTTTGGGGAGGACAGACACACACACACTGAAGTACAAGGAGACTATGGCCAGTGTTTAGACAGGAGGAGTTAGGAACACAGAGGGTGGCAGTTGGCAGGGAAGCCTCCAGGCACTCTGACACGGAGCCCTCACTTTCCTCACCCCACCCCTCTGCTCTTTGCACTGCTGTTGCAATTACTGATACACGCCCTGGAAAGACCTCAAGTCCTGCCCCATTAGAAATATTGCTCAGCAATGCCTCCCTCGTGCACTGCTGTCACTCTGCCCTGCAGTGCCCACACAGGTCCACACGTGGGCATCCACACAGGTGTCCATACCAGTGCACACACATGCACACCATAGCACACATACCACTCCATCTAACTTGGCAGGTCAGAACTGCCTGTGCATATCTCGTACACCAACTCTCCTGGGCTGAGAAGAGAAGACCTAGGTGTACTGGGAAGCTACACTTGGACTCAAGAGACAGTAGTTTGAAATCCTTCTCTGAGCCTGGGTTTCCACATGCAGTCAGCACCCAGAATCTCTCAGGCAACTAAGTCATTGCCAGTCTCTCTAGGATTGGAAGGAGAAAGCAAAAACAGAAAAAAGCAATAGGTCCCCTCCTGCTAGAGTAGTTCTGTGGAAACAAGGAGTATGGGATGTCAATGGGCAATCAGACCTCAGCAACAAGAAAGGGGAGAGAGAGGGAACCGGACTCGGAATCCACAGGAGGAAACTGCCAGAATCACAGGGAGGGAGCAGAGGAACAACCCAAACAAAGCAGGTGTCACAGAGTTTACCCTTCACCTCCTGCAGATGCCTTCCCCAGCCCTGGGTGCTGGGTACACTGCCCTCTGTCTTCCTGCTCTGGGACCTCCGCTCCCAGGTCACACATCCCCAATATTGTCAGGGACTTCCATTTCCTTCAACCATGAATTCTCAATGGCTTCGCACAGACACATTTCCCAATCTTCATACGCACTGCTCACCCTTGCTCATCCTCACAGTAGTGTGACCCTTAGGTGCGGTGGCAGGAGCTTCCCAGTGCACTCCAGAGTGAGCAGCAATCCCAGGAGGCCCCAAGGGAGCATTCAGAAGGAGGAACACTGCCTCAACTGGACCCTCAGGCAGAATGTGAAATCCTTTGGAACCACAGATAGTGTGGAGACTCACGCTCCCTGAGTCCTTTCACTGAGACCCCTGCACAAGCGCTGTGACAGTGACAGTGCGCTCCTCAGCACTCCTGGGAGAGGAGCTTGGCCAGGCTCCAGGGCCACCCTTCTGAGCTCCTACCTGCCCTGGCTGACACACGCCCCCTGGTGGCGCCTTGCAGTCTCTGCCTGTGGACTCCTGCTGGGATCAGTCACCCAGGAGAGCCCAGCTCAGCCTCCTGGAGACCACTGTCTCCAGCTTCAGCAGCACCCCGCCCATTGCCCCTTCTCCATCGAGGACGGATCTCCCGAAGAGCAGCAGCTGTAGGAAAGAAAAAGCAAAGCTGGGAAAGACAAGAAGTGGGAGCTTCATGGCAGCCTGTTTCTCTCTAAGGCTGCAGTGGGGACACAGAAAGGAAGGGCCACATGCCCTGCAGGCAATGGAGATCAGCAGGTTCGAGGGGACGACAGTTTCTGGTGGGGACCCAATGGCTTGGTGCTCCTCAGAGAAGACCAGGGCAGCAAGAAGGAGTGAAGGGAGTTTCTGTGGAACCCGGGACTCTGGGATTGGGGTCCAGTCCCTGTGCAGCTCCATGGGAGCTGACCTGGCTCCTGTGCTAAGAAAAGACACCAGGGAGGAAGACAAGGGGAGGCTGTACTCAGGGTTCGGGGTAGGGGAGGAGACGTGCCCTGCTTTACCCTAGACATTATTTATGGCCATGTTTGTTCTCTGATGATGACGGTGGCCCCCTTGCTCATAGTCCATGTCGTGGGCCAGGGGTCGAAGTTCAGGAACATGCACCCACCACTGCAGCCCAGTACGGCCAGAGGTTTGCACCGTCACAGCTCTCCCACTCTCTAGAGAGCACTCCTGGGGGTGAGTCCGACCTCCTGAAGAACCCCCAGTGAGCTATGAATTGAATTGCAGTCTCTTATTTTGTTTGACTTTGTTTTCCTGGTGGTGTGTCTGTCAAGTGTGTGCGTAAATGTGTACTTACATAGAAAGAATTATTAAAAACTAAGCTGGTGGCTTCAGATCGCATATGAAACTGTGGCTTTCCTTTCATGTGGGGCACCATGGAAGGACACTCAGTGGCCTGACCCTACAGCATTCAGGGCCTTGGTCCTCCAGGACGACCCTCCCTGGCCACCTTCCCGGCTTCAGCATTGACGTGCTCCACACAAATGTCGACTTCAAGTTTTCTGTGAATCTGAGCTCACTTGCCGTTTTCACAACCCACAAGGATCTGTTCAACAACACAAGGTCCCCTGAAGGTTCCATGTCCTCAGCTGTTACACTGAGGGAAGGAAACCAAGATGCCTAGGGAGGTGCCTCCCAGCTACAAAGGGACCTTAGGCCGGGAATCTGTATCCTCTTCTGCAAGAGATTTCTCTGTTGAGACCACACTCACGGCGACACCACAACACTGAAGACTCAGAGCCAGGTCTCAGGAAGCCCCTGGGAATTCCTGGGAATTTTCCCACAGGACACAACAGGTGCTCAAAAAATTAACAAAAAATGAGGGACTGGTGTCTAAATGTGACACTCACTGCGTGCCAGTGGAGAGATAGGTGCCAGGGATGTGGGTTTGGGGGCCCTAGGAAGGGCAAGGGAAGAGGGAAGGGCAGTGACCTTAAATGAGGGTCAGCCCGAGTGGGACACAGAGCAGGTGCTGGTGAGGGCGGGAAGGCTCAGCTGCACCAGGGCAGGGATCTGTGTCCTGCCAGTCCTTATTGCCATCTTCCTCCTTGCCTGTGCCTATGCCTATTCCCGTGACACTAGGCTACTCAAGAAAACCTGCAAAGGGAAGCATTGCCCCTGGCCTCTGTGACAGGAAAGGCTGAAGTAGGGGAGAGAAAATCCACCTGTCCTCTTCATATCCTTCCTCAGGTCACCCCTCTCATCCCCTGCCCTCCCTGAAGGCACCTGCCTTTCGCTACCATAGGTCTGTACCCCAACTTTGCAATGCAGACCACAGGTTAAGGAAAGAGTATGTTGGGGGATAGAAGGGCAAAAGCTATTACATCTACTTTGTGTAACTCATTACATTCCATCCTCCCAGCAGCCCTGAAAGTTTCCTTCTGGCAGTTTTCTGAGAGAGAGAGAGAGAGCCACGGCTCTCTCCCTTGTCTCCTTTCCTGACCTCTCAAGCCAGGCTCCCCATTTGGGACCATGTCCTCCTTCTTTGCAGAGAATTACTGCATCAGGAGGCGACCTATCCTTGGCCACTCTGTTTGCCTTTTCCCTGGAGTCCTGGAGACTGTCAGAGACTGAGCTTTCTGAGGAGTGAATTCTGGGTTTTGAGCCAGATGAGGAAACCCAGACTCAGAGAGAGATTTCATCTAGTATGTCTGAAATCCAAGGGTAGCTTTTCTAAGAGATTAAAATCCCTGAGCATGGCTAAACTTATCGAGTGTTTCTAGGGCAACATAATCAGAGACACTCCATGGGTTGAAGTCACATTAAACATTGGTTATGTGTCCTCTGGAAAGACACCTGTTGAGAAGACCTTCCCGCCAATGGCTGCTAAGTTGACATGTGAGGACTATGAGTCAGGTTAATGGTTTTCCTGCCCATCCCCACCCCATGTACACGGGTATCTTCAGAGTTAGGTGAGGTCCCTGACCACCTTCAAGCATTTCCACCCTGTGGGAGGCTATAGACTGACCAGGCTAAAGCACACCCTGAGGAGGTGGGCAGCAGGCAGAGAAGGTGTGGGCTAAACCTCCCTCCACCAGCTCACACCCTCCCCAATTGTCCCCCCACCATTGCCCCAAGAGGCTTAGAGCCTTGAGTGGCCACCCAAGGCAACAATACAACCAGAAGCACTACTGGATTCTTGTTCCTCAGCTGTATAACTTGGCACTTTCCTACTAACATCTCTAGAGTCCTGAAAGAAATCCCAGGAGAATGAAGGCCAGGAGGGGAGGATGGAGGTAGGACAGGTGACTTGATGACATGACAGCTCCCTCCCTCCACCCTATTTCTCTCTCCAGGACACATCATCCCTCAAACAGCATCGAACCCCACCCAAACAAGTGCCACAGTTCTGGCTTCACAGGGCTTTGGCTGGCCTTGGGAGGCCCCAGGTGAGGATGGCGTCCACCAGGAAGGTGGGCATGTAGCTCATGGGGAGGTAGAGGAGCTTGGCGTCCCAGCCAGCTGAGTAGCGGGTGCGGGGGTGGCAGGCGGTCAGCGCATGTTCCATGCAGTCCGTCACCTCTGACAGATTCTCGTTGCATGTTGACAAAAGGTGTTCAGATAGTCGTTTGAGGTCTGCTCAGGATGAGAAAACAGCCATAACAGAGTGGGAACATCCCTCTGCTCCCTTTCACAGCTCTAAGTTAGAAAGAAAGTTCCTAAGAATTCCTGGACCCACAGTGATGTGCCCCAAATCTAATCCATGCAGGTTCCCCAGGGGCGTAATCCATCCTTACCCCAGGAAAAACTGGTCCACGCTAAGCCACCTGTGCCTCTCTTCCTGGGAATATCGGGACTGCATAAGTTAAAGGTTTCTGCTAACAGAGTGAAAGGGCAGGAAAACCAGTCCTCCCTAAACCCAGCTGGCCATGAGTCCATGGCATCTTCCCTCTCTGTCTTTAGTTTCCTCTTCAAAATAATGGCGGGACAGTGTTTCCAATTAGTGAACCTGGTTCCCGTCTCTAAGTGACCTGTTGACCACACAGCACCTTGGGAATGGGGCAGAATGTCCCCACTTTGTGACAAGGCTGAACTTCCGTCTCTCAACTACCCAGTAGGAGGACAGAACCCTCATGGTGTTGGAGACATTAATCATGGTCCAAGGTTTAGTTCTCTCCCTGTGCACAGTGCACTCACAGGATGCCAGAAACTTCTTGCCATAGGTCTCCTTGATCTTGGGTCGGGCCGGGTCCCACACTTCCTGAACGTGCAGCAAAACCCTCTCAGTGTTGGTCATGTTCGTCTTGAAGGAACCAGGTTCAATTACAGCCACTTTTACCCCAAAGGGGGTGAGCTCTCTCCTGGGAGACAGACAGGCGGAAGGCAAGGAGTTCAGAGGTCTTACAGGCGAACACAAACACATATAAACCCACTGAAAATCCAACACAGGGTGGTAGTAGATAAGCCCGAAAGCATGGCATGTTGGGAAGTGTAGCAGAAGGCCAACAAAAATTGTGACGATGGCATTGCCTGTGTATAGGGTTGACATAGTTTACACACCGAGCTCACTAGCTGCGAATACCCTGGAATCAGCTGCAAGTAACCACTGCTGGGCTATCTCCCCCATGCTCCTCACATCCAGGGCATCACCAGGATTCGCCCATTTCACCGTCTATGCTCCTCAGTCCCCTTCCTCCCTCTGCTGCCCCAGTAAACTCTCTGGCCATCTCTCAGCAGGGCTGCTGCCGCTGTCTTCTGGGGAACATCCCTCTGCCTTCAGTCTCGGCTCCCCACGCGCACAGCCACTGGGCATCTAGATTCCTATTGGACCAAATACCACCCTCAGTACATCCAAGCGCTGGATTCCGCTGCCTACAGCATGAAGTACAGCACGTGTCCAGAACCCACAGGATTCCACGGCCCACTGCTGGCCACCTGTCCAGCCCCACACACATTTCCTGGCATTGTTGTTTGGCCCAAGAAGACCCCACAGCATAGCTGGTCAGCTGACACTCACCCTTGGCCAGGGCTGATGCCGTCCTCTCATCAGGAGCCCTGCCCACCCCTCCTTAGCAGGTTGCCAGGTCTTCAGCCCTCAGCTCAGACCTCACAGCCAGTACCCTCCCCACATCTGGGGGCTGCCACGGCCACCATGCCAGACTTGGTGACAACACCTATAAGGGTTGGCAACAATGGTTTTCTATCTTTTGTCCCTCCCCCTGTCAGCTATCGGGGTTTTTAGGTCAAGGAGCCAACCCTGCCTTCCTAGGGTGCGCTGATGCTGCACTCACAGTAGTGCCCACTGCTGTGTGTTATGCTGAGTCAGAGGCCGCACCCACCCTCAAGGGCTCCCTGCACCCGAGTATCTCAGTGGCTGTGGACACGGGCCCTGCAGCCAAATTTTCCCACTTCCACTCTGCTTCAGACATGTCCTGGCTGTGGGCCCTCCTCAGAAGGCTCACAAAGAGGTTACATAATTTCTTAGGCCTTGGTCCCTCGCTCTACAAGAACAGGGACAAGAGGTCACGAGGAATGGCTGGTTAAACCCAGAAAGGGGGAAGGTCCAAAAAGCCCGAGAGATGTATCTGGAATAAACACCTTCTAAATCTGTGATGAAATCGACTTGCTGCGAAATGCTCCCATAGAAGACCAGGAATAGGAGGACTCAGGCAGGGCCCAATCCCAGTGCAATACCTGAGGGAGTCCGAGAAGGCCTCCACGCCATACTTGGAGATGCAGTAGCCCCCAGGTGTTAGAGACAATCTACCCCCGATGCTGGAGACGTTGACCACGTGGCCTCTCGCCTTCCTCACTAAGGGCAGCAGGCTCAGAGTCACCTCGATCATCCCCAGCAGGTTCACGTCCAGTGTGGTCATGAAGTCTTGTTTGGTCAGCCACTCATTGTGGCCCGAGCCTTTGGAGATCCCAGCGTTATTGACCAGGCCCCAGAGTCCTGGGGACAGTGGGAAATTGAGAGAGCAACACTGTATTGTGTGTGTGCGGTGTGCTAGGGTTCAAGGTCATAATCCAGTTGAGTTTATTTATGGAACCAAGAAGAATGTGCTACTTGGTATGGGGAAAAGAGTGGGGGGAGGAAATGAGGACGTGATGACTGAAGGGTGTCAGAGTTTGCATATTCTTCAAGCTATTAGAGGTTAGGAATGGTCCTTGTCATCTTTCCTCCCAGTGCCTGGAACCCAGTGTGCAATGAACCCAACTTTCTTAAGTTCATGGACAGAGTCTGAGAAAATAGAGTGAGTGCTCATCAAATATCTCATCAGTAGAGAGAGACAGAGACAGTAAAAGAGGAATGGGGTAAAAGAAAAAAAAAAAGAACAAGGGAAAACCAGAGAAGAGAAAGAATAAAGGGAAAGGCAAAAAGACCCATGAATCATTGTTTTCTCTACCCTGATTGGGAGAGACACACTTAAAATCCTAAGACTGGGGAGTGTAGAGATCAGGCCTGCTTTGGACATTGGGACAGGCTATGATGCACCGTGCACCAATTTTGAGGCAATATTTGCTCAGCAAGCAAAGTTCACCGTCTCTGCCTGGGAATCCAAAGCTCACCATGGAGTCGATATAAGGGACAAACCGGGGAGGAGTCCTCAGGCTACCCCAGTGTCCAGATGGCACCCTTGGCCCCAGGCAGGGTCAACCTCTGCTTCCACCCTCCCCAAAGTCCACCCTTGACATAATCTCACGGTTCCCGAGACCACTTAGCTCTCATGAAGATGATCTGCGAGATATCCAGGAACAAAAACACAACCTCAAGGATTTGAAATAGTCTGTCTTCCCCACCTACAGCCCATCAGGTTATCGGGGGCAGGCTATTCGGTGGGCCAGGGCCGGGGGTGCAGTTAGACAGAGTTTAATGTAGGAATAGTGGAAAGAGAATAAGGCCTTGCAATATTAGTGCTTCCCCCACACAACACCTTTCATGGCCTTCAAGAAATGAATATTCTGTGATCCCATCATTTTGCTTTACTTGAATAACATTGCTAAGCATGTGAACAAACCTCATTACAGAATCTTTGCTGAGATGTTATTTATGCCAGGAAAGGTGGGAAACTAAGTTCAGCATCCAACAATATAGGACTGCTTAAATGAATTATATTGTCTCAGCATGAATATGCAGACATGCAATGTTACGTTTCAGGAGAGATTTGATGGTATAAAGGGGATCCCAGAACACGTGAGGCAGAGAGTAATTAACTCTGGAGGGTGCGATTACGGTGAATGTTGTTTTACCTTTATCCTCTATCCTACGTTTTCCTCAATGAGCATGTTTTACATTTCTAATCAGAACAAAGAGATCCACGATCTCCCTTTTCACAGAAAGAACAGGCAGCGTAATGTAGCAGAAGGACAGGAATTATCACTGAATATTTGATACGAGGTCCCTTCAGCACTCTAAGCCTCCGTCCTCATGAGTCAAGTGAGGACAGATAATCTCAGAGCCCTTGGGGGGACAAGTGTGAAGGAACCAATAAGAAATGCTGAGACAACGAGCCCAGATCCAGCCTGGCCCAGGTCCCCACTGTCGCCTGCCAGGCTCAAGGGCCCAAGCTTGCTCCAGAGAGTCGACCCTAAACACAGGCTGTGCCCGCCCCTCCGACCCTATGGCTCAGGCACTGGCACTGTAGGATTCTGCTCTGGGAAATGCAAAGCTCACAGTCCTTGAAAATCCAAACGTCCTGGGAATCTTCCCAGTTAGCAGACAAAAGGTTCTCCTTCCCAGAGAGAGGCGAGAGAGACACAAAGAGGAATCTGGGGGATACCTCTGTCTCCCACGCGTTCCTTCACCCACTGGGTGGCTGCAGTGATGCTGTCTGTCTTGGTGATGTCCAGAGTCACCGTCTCCAGCCTGTCTGACGCCTGGGCCCTCAGCTGCTCGGCCGCCTTCTCTGTCCTACACGCAGCCAGCACCCTCAAGCCGCGCATGTCCAGCTGTCTGGCCAGCAGGTTCCCAAAGCCAGAGCCACAGCCCGTGATGAAGACGTACTTGTCTCGGAGGTGGCTCACCACCTGCCTCTCCCGGTACCAGCGCACAAGGTAGTACAGGCCCACCAGGGCCGCCAGGTACAGCCACATGGCGTTGGGGAGAGAGACACACACAGGCTGGGGTACAAGGAGACTATGGCCAGTATTGATTGAGACAGGAGGACTAAGGAACACAGAGGGTGGCAGTTGGCAGGCAAGCCTCTAGGCACGCTGGCATGGAGCCCTCAGTTTCCTCACTCGAGCCTCTGCTTTTTATTCTGCTGTTACAAGTACTGATACAGACCCTTGTAAAACCTCAAGTCCTGCCACGCATAAGAAAACATTATTTCTCTGTAATGCCGCCCTAGTACACGGATGTCACTCTGCCCTGCTGTGCCCACACAATTCCACACACGTCCACACATGAGCGTCCACACTGTTTTCCATACCAGTGCACACACATGCACACCTAGCACACATACCACTTGATATAACTTCGCAGGTCAGAACTGCCTGTGCATATCTCGTATGGTAACACTCCTGGACTGCACAGACAAGACCCAGGTGTACTGGGAAGCCACACCTGGATTCAAGTCACATTAGTTTGAAATCCTTCTCTGAGCTTGGGTTTCCACATCAGGTCAGCACTCAGAATCACTCAAGAAACTAAGTCATTGCCAGTCTCTCTAGGATTGGAAGAAGAAGGCAAAAACAGAAAAAAGCAACAGGCCCCCTCCTGCCAGAGTAGTTCTGTGGAAAGAAGGAGTATGAGATGCCAAAGGGGCAGTCAGACCTCAGCGACAAGAAAGGGGAGAGAAAGGCAACGGGGCTGGGAATCCACAGGAAAGAAACTCCCAGAGTTGCTGGGAGGGAGGAAAGGAATGACTCAAACAAAGCAGGTATCACAGAGTTTACCCTTCACCTCCTGCAGACGCCTTCCCCAGCCCTGGGTGCTGGCTACACTGCCCTCTGTCCTCCTGCTCTGGGACCTCCGCTCCCAGGTCACACATCCCCAGTATTTTCAGGGACTTCCATTTCCTTCAACCATGAATTCTCAATGGCCCCGCACAGACACATTTCCCAATCCTCACACCCACTGCTCACCCTTCCTCATCCTCACAGTGGAATGACCCTTACCCGTGGTGGCAGGAGCTTCCCAGTCCACTCCAGTGTCTGCAGCAATCCCAGGAAGTCCCAAGGGAGCATTAAGAGGGAGAGACACTGCCTCGACTGGACCCTCGGGCAGGATGTGAAATCCTCTGGAACCCCCAAACCCCTCCCAGTGCTTCCACTGCGACCCCTGCACAAGGCAGTGGAGCGTGCTTTTATCTGGCTCCTTAGTTGGAACTAAAAGCCAGTTGTCACCAGGCAGATACGAACTTTACTGGTTTTACATGCATAAGGGGAGGTTCACAAGAGAGTGAAATCCAAAAAATTGGCCAAGCAAATGTGTTTTTGTAAATTTTAGACAATGACTAATACATCTGAGAAGAAATCACAGGACGCAGTCTGGCTAGGAACAATAAATTTTTTAGAGGAGTCACTGGGAGATATGTAGGGGCTGTAAAACAGGTGGCAGATAAGGATTATTGTAAGTATGTTTATTTGGGTCTATCGTCCCTCTAATTTCACGTCTCTGGTGATAAGGGTCATTTTCTTACCCTGGTTTGGAGAGGGTCCCCCTCCCAGAAGAATCTTTTTCACTTGCTACATGCAGGAAGAGAGAGGAAGAGAGAGATCAGCTCACCCGCTCTGACACTAGTTTCCCCATGTTTTTAACTCAAATAATCAATCCACCAATCTGACATATTGTAGGATGGCACATCCTTCACTCCTTCATTTCCCCAGTCTGAAATTTAACTAGAAGTTTTAAATATTAAAAGCTGATTTGGAGGCAAAATGAGAAATCTCATCACGCTGTTGTCTCTTGGTACGCATCCATTCTCCAGATTTTACCCACCAGACACTCGCTCTGGCAAGAGCAACAATCTAGATTTTTTAAATAATCTAGATATTGACACGACCAACAATCAGATTGATCAGTTGTCATATCCAGGGTTTGGAAGACTGTACAAAGGGGTGCCTTGTCTGTGCTGGACCTGTCAGAAAAATAGTAGAAGTTAGTATGAGCAAGACACAGTTTGGAAAAAAGTCCATAGTGGAGGACTAGAGGGAGAATAGGATAGACGAAGACAGTCCCCGGTCAGCTCTCCAATACTCTAGCAACACATGCGGAAAGGCTTTTGTCGATGAAAAAAAGATGCCGGGTTTTTTTTCCCCCTAAGGAAGGGGAGTAAGGAGATTTAAAATGGGGAGAAAATAGGTGGAAGTAGAATTTCTTGACTGGTGGTCTTGGGAAAATCTGTCCGTCTCAATGAAATATTATCTGCTTCTGAGGCCTGGGAATTGGCCCTGGAAAGCCGTACTTTAAGGTCACCTTGATGGGTGGTTTTCAAATTGTCTTGGGAGTTCTGATCAGGATCCAGCTTGGTGTGCCTTGTGAGGGCCCAGGAGGATTTTTCCTTCATTTCCATGGCAGTGTATGTGGTCAGCAGTATTTCATATGGGCCTTCCCAGCGAGATGACAGTGTGTGCTTTATTGTAAAATCCTTGACGTGCCTACGGTCTCCTGGTGGAAAAGAATGGCGGGTCTTGTCAGTTGGCAGAGGCCATGCGCTTTTAGCCTGTTGATGATATGCTCCAAGCGTGTTACTTAGTGCCCGGATGTCGCTAGTCACGGCATCAAATTGTTCACATAAATCCCCAAAGTGTTCATTCAACCCAAGAATGGAAGGTTTAGAGGTGCCAGCAGGCATAGGGCAGCAGCAGAACTTTATTTGAAGAGTGGTTAATCCATGGCTTCTATTTGAAGTATTCTGAATTTTTATAAGGGCCATAGGTAATGTTTCTGGCCATTCGGATCTAGCTTTTTGACAGAATTTTCCCAAACTCCATGTATTGTCGAGGTTTTTACATCGCACTTGTCCTGAGGACTGGCGATGCGATGGGGTGTGAAATTTTAGTGAGCACCCCAGAGTGTTTGCAAGCAAGTGGATTATCTCAGCTGTAAACTGACTTTCTTGGCCTGGCTCAATCCATAAAGCTCTGCCAAAGGGAGGAATAGCATCAGCTGTCAATTTCTTTCCCAGGGCTGTGGCATCAGCACATCTAGTCGGATAGCATCAGTCCATCGACTGGACATGCAGGCAGTAAGTCACCAGTGAGGACACCCTAACGCTGGAGGCAAATCTATGGGTACGTCTATCTGTGGAGCTAAAGGCGCGGCATGGGCCATGGAGGACATCCTGAGGACTGTTGGTTTCCTCCAGAGATTTGGTCAGATTTACAAGTAATGCACTGGGAATAATTTGGTCAGAAATTTTGTGGATCCCGGGGCAAAACCACTTACCTTTTAGTTCCCCCACGTATCCCCCATTGGCACATCTCCCACGCATCCCCCATCTGGTGGGACATAAGTGCAAAAGGTAGAAGAAAAAGGGGTCACAGGAAGTCCATTTGGACCATACATAATCCATCTGGTGATTGCTCGGCATCCTTTTGTGTCCATTATCTCTTTCACATTTGGGGACATTTGCCTGATGATCAATAATTTCGGTCAGGGATAAAGACGAGTTTATAAGTTGGGAGGGAGAAGAATAAGGGGTCTGTTTGGCGCTGCATCCTTAGCAGCCCTGCCTGACCTAACATTCGCTAGACACGGAGTGGCGGTCCCTTGGAGTGGGCTGGACGGTGAGCCACAGCAACGTTAGGGGGACAGTGAACAGCCTGTCACAAGGCAGCCCTCACACGGCCATTAGTGACAGGAGCACCAGCAGCGGCAGGAATCCGCGGCGCGTCCGGAGTATGCCAACAGCACGACAGGCCCCGAAAGCGTCTCTGAAGTCAGTGTAACTAGTGCCAGTGATTTCCCTTTGCCAGTGTGCAAGCTCTAACAAGAGCCATAAGTTCATCAGCTTGACCCACTTTATAGTGGCCAAAGGAGTATGCCTCAGTGTTTTTTTGTGGGGAAACTATGCCATAGCTGAGTATCGTGTTTCCCTTACATTGCGTTTGCAAGGGCCCTCACAAAATAGCAGTAAGTCTGCGTTGCCTAAAGGAATATCTGAGGGATCAGCTGGTAGCTTTGCAACCATTTCTGCAGCTGCTAGGCAATCCTGTGGAACGGAATGAGGGTCTCTATCATCAGGGAAGGGTAGGAGTGTAGCAGCATTTAAAGTGTTACGATGATGCAAGATGACAGAGGGATTTGGTAATAGGACTTCTCTCCGAGTGGAGAGGTGCTGCATCTTAGGAACTTGTAGGGAGCAGATACAACAGAGAGGGAACGGGGGAGCCTACTGTGAGTGCTGGCTTAATCCATTAGGGCGGCACCTGCTGCTACTACACGCAGGCCTGGCGGTGTGCCTGCTGCCACAGGAGGAGTTGGCATGAGAAATATGCCGCAGAGGGTATCTGAGAGGCAAAGGGTTGCTCCAGTACACCTGCAGCAAGTCCATTATTCTCACCCCAAGACAGGTGAAATGGTTTGTGAAAATGAGGTTAGCCAAGAGCAGGGCGTGTGGACAATGCTGCCTGTAAGGCTTCAAAGGAAGTTAACGTCAGACAATGGGCTCTGGAGCGGTATCTGGGAGGAGGGCGTAGAGTGGTTTAGCAAGAGCAGCAAAATTGCCAGCTCCATTGCTGGCAATAGCCAGCTGTCCCTACAGATTTATGTAGTTGCTTTTTCCTCTTAGGGAGAGGGATGGATAAAATTGAGTCAAGTCAATTTGGGGTGAGTTTTTGAGTGCCCTGAGATATTTCAGGTCCTAAGTAAGTAACAGGTGTGTGTACCAGTTGAAGTTTAGATCCGGAGGCCTTATGGCCTCTTCAGCCAGAGCCTTAGGAGAATGACAGGGTCAGTAAGGGCACCCCGTTCGGTTTGATTACAAAGCAAAAGGTCATCACACTGC